TACTTGGAATTAGCATGTAGGTCCTTTGCTAGTTGTATTGCTTCTTCATCCCTTAAGTATAAGAATGTAATACACAAATCCCTTCGTCTGACTGTAATGTTTTTAACAAAAAACAAAACAAAACAAAACAAAAGACGCCCTGTACAGATTACTCTTTCTTTGCTTGTATTACCTGCCTAACGCTGTCAAGAATTCAGCATTGAAGACTGATGCCAAGACGCACTGAAGAGCCTGAAGGATGCAGAGTTCAGACTGTTACTTACAGGCATTGCATGAGTATAAAAGTTCATGTAGAAATGTCAGGTTATAGATAAAAATTTAATGGTACTGTTTTATCATTTATGTGTTGTCTACTTTGTATAGTGTATAAAAATGAAAGAAGTGGCCTGAAGCAAGTTTTTATATTATGTCTGTAGCAACAAAATGTCTTGTATTTGCAAAGATTCCTAATAGCTTACAAGAGAAACACGATATTAAGGTTTCATCTGAAATATACCTTTTGTAAGTCACTTATTAGACCTATTTCTACTTTGTTGTGATTTACATATTAACTTGCTTTTACAGAGAAAAAGATGTTGGACATACACTTCAGATTCCTGAAGTTGGAGTCAGTAAGGTAACTCTTGTTTATGTCTGCTAAAAGGTAGCTCAGCAGACATAAATGTATGAAGGAAGCGTTAGTTTTTACAGCTTTAAATTTGAAAAATTGTGTTAATTTTTTGAAAGAACTTTTAGAATAAGGTGTGGGTTTACCCACATTTGAATTTACAAAAAGGAAAAAGCCAGGTTTTTATGAATGGGAACTTAAACAACAGTGTGTTTTCAAAGTCTAGAAAAGCTCAGTACTTTTTTTAAAAGGGAGTTTTACTAATCTACAGTGTAATGCACAGTAAAAAAACTGTATTTTGAATCTTGAATTTCATAATTATTGAACTTGAGGAAACTTACTACTTTGTTAAGTACTTAATGGTATATAAAATCCTGATGTCAGCTAGTAAGAATCTTGTCACAAGTAATGCAATCTTCACTGTTATGCTCAGAGCGAAAGGGTTTATTTTATTTTTCTTCAAGGCAACTGTATAAATGCGATGTCCAGGGAGTTTGAAAAATTAACAGAATGCCTTTCAATGGTAGATTGAATGTAACTTTTTGTTCTGGTTTAGAAAGGTTACAGATAAATTCTATGCTCTGTTTTGCTAAGTACTTTAATGTGACCCTAAATGCAGCACTGTTTATAAAAGGAAAATGTAGATTGACAAAGACATGTCATCCAAACAAAAAGTTTGCTAAAAACATCTGTAAATGCAAGTGTTTCATGAAACATGCTTTACTATGTCTGTTTCAGATTATAGTTCTGATTAATCAGCCATGTACCATATTTCATACTGAATAATTTCCAGAGTAATTTCCTGCTAATAATGACTTTTTCAGACATATATTTGAAACTGGGTGAATAAAGAAGTCAAAAGGCTTTTATTTTTCTGTAATATTACCATTTTAGTACTTGATGGGTACTGACAGTTTATATAAGAAGTTACTTCACTTTTTAGATAAGGAGTGAAAGGCAGAAACATAAATGACGTATCTGCAGAAACAAAGTTATGCACCACTTTGTTTTCCTAACTATTTATAGTTTATACCTGTGGACAAATTTGGCATTTGTTTTTCTTGAGTGGAAAGTGAGATTTAAAAAAATGCTACACCCTGCAGATTTAGCCTCTTTAGAAGAAGTCTGGGTTAGTTCTATTCAATAGAACAGAGGTAGAAATTAAATTATCTATTGAATTAACAGTTGGTCTCCATCACTGTGGGAGTGTTCCTGTTGGAAATGCTAGTTAGTCTTCAAAATATTTTTTTTTTAAACTGAATGTAGCAACTGCTGTTGCTCAAAGAAGAGAATATATTTGGTTTTAAATTAATACTTTTCTTCTCAGATTGACTCTTGTGACTTTTTTATTCCACTATTGCAAAAGGGATCTTTGCTTGTCAAATTTCAAACAGTCACCTTTTTAGACTTACTGCTTTTACTGGAAGCCTTAGAAGGCTGGAGAATTTGGTACTTTGGTTTGTTCAGTGGCCTTTTTTGGAGGGAGTGTATATCCTTGTGAATTTGGCCGGGAGTTGTGTCATCTGTGTTCTGTATAGGCTTGGGAGCAGTACCTGTAAAGAACTGCCACAACAGCACAAAGAAACCCATAAAGAGATTGTTAGTCTCAATATCAGAAGGGAAATAAATGAAATAGCAAGTGATGGCTAGTCATTATGTCCTGGGTATTAATGTGCAGGTGAAGGTGAATTATATGAATGCTACCAAAGCATGGCATTTAGGGAGGTATATCAAATATGAAAGACCAAGAAACCTGAAGCAGAAGAACAAGATCAGACTTTTTTTTTTTGAGAGTGCTGTAACTTACCTTAAAAGCAAAAAGCCTGTTATGTATATAAAGTTGAAAATCCTGCATTACTGAATCTCACAGTTCTTTAAGGAAAACATACTTACCACATTGGAAGTATATAGTTTTCCTGTATTGAATCAGTTTATGGTCAAAAGGTTACATTATTAATAGTATACTTTAGCTCCTGTTGTTGTGGCCCCTTCAGTTACATTTCACTTGGATGAAATCATAAGGTATGGAATACTGTATTAACTTAGAGTACCAAAGGCACTCATTTTAAAGGTCTCAAAATATATTCCGAAATTTTACCTTTAAGTAGCCTTTAAATTGTGAAGTATTTGCTTAACAAGAACATTTGACCTAGGCTTCTTTTTATCAGTTTCATGCAGAAGTATATTTTGACCATGATTTGCAAAATTATGTTCTTGTGGATCAAGGCAGTCAGAATGGAACAGTTGTTAATGGAAATCAAATCCTCCAGGTGAGTACCTATTGTTTTAAGGCTCTGTACACTGCAGAAAACTGTAGTCTTGTCATTTTAAGTGTTTTATGGCAAATGACTAACAATGACACTGTATGGTTTCTTTCATTCAATAATGTCTGCCTTGGCTCCTTTCTGATTTTAGGGCCACTTACAGTACATAGTGTTTGGTTATACTAAGAAAAATCCACTATGTTTGCAGTTGCTAGAGTGAAATACCTCCTTAAATACTTGCCTACATTTGTGAGACCAAGCTGAATTACTGAACTGTAAGCAGCATGCATGAAATTGAGTTTTTGTCCTTCGTGAGTAACTAACATGGCTGCCAAAACTTTCTTTTGCTGTAGCCTAAAACTAAATGTGATCCCTACATCCTGGAGCATGGAGACGAAGTGAAGATTGGTGAAACTGTGCTTTCTTTTCATATACATCCTGGCAGTGATACTTGTGATGGATGTGAACCAGGACAAGTCAGAGCACATCTTCGCCTGGACAGGAAAAAGGAATCCTCTGGTTAGTCAGGTTATCACAGGAGATGTTTATTATTATGGCTTTATTAGTATAGTTGTTTATAATATAAACATAGGAATTACTTTAGTTTTCTTACAGTTTTCTTGTCAACTGGAAATAGTTATACATGATGTATTTTCTTCTTGGTATATGTGTCTATAAGGGAGCCCCTGGTGGTCTAGGGGTAAAGGCGCCGCGCTATCACCGCGGAGACCCGGGTTCGATTCCCGGTCAGGGCCACTCCCGGGCAGGTGGGGCTCGTTAGCCCTTAAAGGCAACCCACCTACGTCCTGAGGACCTCGCTGCCACCGTCCAAGCTCGCTTGGCCCCGGCAGATGAACCTTAGGATTAAAGGGTGGGCTCAGTTCCGCGCACACTGTGTCTCACCTAAAAAATCCAATGCGCAGGCTGGAAGGTGGAAAGACCTTCCCCGGATCTTCGCTCGCGAAGACTGGCCATTATATGTGTCTATAATAATGTTAGAACAAAAATTCTCACACTTACCATGTTTCAAAACATTGTTACATTAGTAATAAGAAATTCAATCCTGTGTTCTTCCTTTTAGTTTGCCCAGCACTTAGCAAAGAAGAGAGAGAGTTAGTCAGAAGAAAAGCATTAAAACAAATACGGGTAAAGTATGGTTTACAGGTGAGTTTACAGTAGGAACATCATTAAGTTTTGTAATCTGGTTCGTATTTTTTTAATGCTTTGTGATTCCTATTTTAAGCATTAAGAATAAGGGAAGTTTTCAAATGCACTCAAACTTGAGCCTGGTAGTTTAAGTCAAGCTGGTCTTTTGTTCCCTAAATTATAATTCTTAATAAACCTGTACTGAGAGAGATGATTTTAAGGGGGCATGAAAGTCCTGTTTGAAGTTTAGGAAAATAAGATCTTTCCAATGGGTACAAGATTCCTAATCCTTTTGAGGTTAGGATTTGCAAGGCATTTCTATTTTTATTTCTGCAGATTAGGTTTTCACTGAATTGCAGTGCTATCTTTTATTTGGAAAGGAAAAATAATGAGCAACTGAAAAAAATGGTGAAAGGAATTTTTTCAAGTTTTTTAAGTCCATAGAATGCCAACGTGAACATACAGGCAATATAGTATATATGTATTTAAGTTACTTCTGGTTTAGGTATAACTTTAACTATGGGATTACATCCAGCATTTGTAGTTAAGTATTCATGTACAAAACATAATGCCATCGTTTCTTTCAAATTCTTCAGCTACCAAAAGAATATGTATAGAGAATCTGTAGACATGCTTAGTTCTGTCATCTATTCTGAAAAAAAATAGTTGCTGAGGAACAGGCAAAATATTTATACAAAAAGCCAGTGCTATGGCCACTTGGTTTTCTGCTTAATAGGAAGAGATTGATTCTTCATACCAATAAAAGATTCAAGAGAACCTGTTATTTCATTTACAGCTTCTGTGAAATTATTGAAATTGGCAATATTACATCATTATGTGATGATGGCAATAATATGCTTTACAAGGTATGGCCGTAAGCTAAGTGAGGACTGTAGTTTTTTGTTATAAGGTTTAGAATTAATGAAGTAGGCTGAAGCTGCCTTACTTTGAAGGGAAGAAGTGCAGTTATCAAAAATAAAGAATTCATTGTCTTGATGGAATTTAATCTGCTTGTAAAGAACACAGAGTATGAAGACAACAAAGCAGTGAAGAATCCAAAGTACAAAGACAGAGCAGGAAAGCGCAGAGAGACCGTTGGAAGTGAAGGAACCTTCCAGAGAGACGACAGTTCAGCTTCTGTTCATATGTAAGTTGGAGAGACCAGGGGAGGTATCCTCCATGTCCTTTTCTTGTGAATCTTAAAAAAAAATATATAAATTACCAATTTGTTACTAGCATACAGTTTTTTAGATTACAAATTACCTGTATATAAAGTTTTAGGAGAGCTAGAAAATTGTAAATTTCATGCATTCCATTTCACATAGTCTTTTTCTTAACTTATCACTTTCCATGCAGAATTCAACTTGGCAGTAAGGATGCTTAGATCACTTCCTTACCAACTCAAAAAAATCAAAGTCTTATCCAGCTGCACTATTGACATCTTCTGTAGTGTCTGTTTTTCAGGAGGCTCAATTTTTATTTTTCCTATTCAGTCCCAGTAATAGTACACATGCAGATTTTTCACCTGCAATTTCTTTCACTGTCAATATCCAGCCTGTCATAGAACATGTATTTACATACATCTTAACTAATACTTAATATAATGTTCTTCTTCAATTATTCCTTTGCTTCTGTAGTTGTAGTTGTGGTGGTTTTCTTAAGAAACATGAACTTCTAGGTGCTGGTAAAAGGAAGTGTGAGACAGTGAAATAAATGCATTAGGATGCACAGATACTGCCTTTTCCCTAGTGCAGTGCATTCCCACCCACCCATGATGTAGCTTTTAGCTCCTAAAGCAAGCAAATAGTTCAGAAGCAGTTTTAAGAAAGTTGATAGTCACCAGATTGTTAACCAAACATACTCATGGAGGAACTTGTAAAAGGTAGCTTTGGGGGTCTTCTGGATATCTCTTGATGGAAGTAGGAGCAGCACAGTAATTGATTCCTGGTTTCCAGAGCAGCAGCATATGCACGCCCATTTCTGTTGTTCAGTATTTGGGAGCATACTCTTTATATGAACTCTGCTTATCAGTTATCTCAAACTTTCTTCAAAGTGAAATCAGCAACAGCAACAAAGGACATAAAATGTTGGAGAAGATGGGATGGAAGAAGGGGGAAGGCCTAGGAAAGGATGGTGGTGGTATGAAGAATCCGGTAGGTTTTTCTTGTTTTCACTTGAAATAAAAATAATAATGTATTTGCAGTGAAAAATATCTAATTGTATGCCACTATTCACTTCAAACATTTCAAACTCCTGGTTAGGAAGAAATAATCTCAGTCAGACTAATCTCAAATTTTTTCTTGACTAATGAGGTATTTTGAAATTTTTTAATAGCATTGTCCCTTCAGTGAGAATGCCAGAACTGTCTGTGTTTATTAGGAAACTATGCAAAGGAGGACAGACAGCTTCTACCCATTGAATTAATAATAACCTCATATTTGAATACAGTAGCCTGGAGGAAGATTGAAATCATTTAAGTGATTGAATTCAGATGAGCTTAGGGTAGAATTCTTCACTTTCTCTGAGATTGCTCTTTCTCTGAAATTGCTGTAGCACAAAAATCAGGTGATAGGCCAGAAGAGAGGAAAAGCTAGCTGACGTCGCTGTAGCCACCAAGTTGTAGGCCTCTGTGGTGGGCATGTTAGCCCCATTTTGGCACCAGATGTGTTGTCTTTTGGTGCTGCTCAGAGCCACACCATGTCCTGTACTGTCAAATTAGCCAGCACAGGGATCATACGCTGCTCACTCAGGTGTATTTCACGTTAATGTTAGGAGCAGGTAACATCTATCAGCACTCTTGATCGTGGTTCTAGAGGTGGTGATTTGACACATCATTTCTGTGGTACTGTTGATGTTTGATCCAGGTGTATTAGAACCTGAAAGAGAAGTGCTTGGGAGTGGGGGTGGAATTTGTATTAGAAAAATATAATTTAGAATACCTAACTTGCAGTTACAACATTTAATGTATTTGACAGATCCAACTTGAGTTACATCAGAAGCATGCAGGTTTGGGTACTAGGAGACCAGTCTCAATTGAAGACGTTCAACTCATCCAGAGCAAGAATAAAAAGAACTGGGACAAAGCAAGAGAAAGGTTTGCTGAAAACTTCCAAGACCGGAAATCACAAGGGGATACACCTAAGAATACATCTTGGGTTAGAGGGACTGTAGAGTAAAGTATTTAGTCCCTCAGCAAGGTAATTCCTGAGTGTAAATAGTTGGAAGAGAATTTATTTTTATTCTTTTTGCTTTTGCTAAAGCAGGAGTTTGGTTATATGTAAAATACAGTTGTGGAAAAATTTATTCAAGATTAACTCTGTTATGTTAATTGGTTTTCTGTAGTCTTCATGTTTTTATAAAAACACATTTTTAATAAGAAAAGGAGTTTAGTGGGATATTAAAATTTAAGTACTTGAAAGTGATTCTCATCACAAGCAGGAATCTTCCATCATGTTTTTAAACACAGAAATTTACACAAAACACCTGTTAAATTTAAATATGATACTTTAAGCATTTGAACAGTGGTTTAAAAGCAAGCTGAAACAAATGAAAAAAATCCCCCAGGCCCATACTAACAAAGTCTCATATTGCTGTTTCTTCATGACTGTCATGAAATGCTCAGGAAGAGGTACAGCAATCTTAAATTCATACAGTTCAGTACTAGTTACATGTCTCAGCTTATCTTAAGCTGAGGAAAAGGGGGGAAAAGCTTTGTTTTAAATGATTCAGCAGTACTGTTCAAAAATATCGTACTCAATGAAATAAACTACCAGCACTAGTGAAGAAAACAATGTTCAGAGACAGCTTGTAGCAAAATTTTCTTCTGTGAAGAACTTGACGTTTCTTTAGTAAATCTGTATCATGCCTTTAAACTACGAGGTATGTTTAGAGAACTGCTGTCTGTATTTATTAACTTCTTTTTCTGATACGTCCATTGCTGGCAATGGAGTTTATGCCAGAAAAAAAACCAATACAACGGAATTTTGGTGGGGAAGGATTGCCAAACTGAAGCCAAAAGACTGGTATTTATTGAATGTTCCGAAACACAATAAACCAGTGTCGATTTAAACAGTGTGCTTCTTGATAGTTTCTTGTGCATGTATTGGACGGGAGTGCTCTTCTAACATGAGTAAAACTTAATCCCACTTTGGTCAAAAGTTCTGATACTTGTTCAAGTAAAGGAAACTTGGTAGTCCACCATCCTATTGGATCACGCAGGCAACTCTCAAGTAAACCCAGGACAAGTTACCAACCATTTATCTTTAATCTAGACACAAACAATATAAAGCAAAAGGTCCAATCTGTTATTTAAATCATTAAAGCACACAAGTTTACAACCCGAACTTCTGCACTACAAAGCCGAAAATACAGTTATCAATGCCTGCAGCAGTATTGATTAATTAATATTAGATCACCACTTGCATTTGTAAGCAGTTACTTTTCTACTGATTTAGTGATAGTATTTAGTGACAGTATTATTGCTGTTGCAATAATAGAAAAATATTGCTCTATTATGTACTTTGCTGTTGTATTCCTTCTTACTGACATCACATTCTCAGGCTACCTTTTTCTGTGAAAAAATATTGTTCTGTATGTTTTGTTCTATACTTGTTAAGTTTTAGTTTACCATGTATCTAAATAGGCACTCCTGTAGTAGGAGGAAGAAATATCCTGTATGCTAAAAGAAAAGGTTTTCCCTTTTTTTTTTTTTTTTTTAATTTGACCTCTGTAGTCTTCAGAGCCAATTAAACTACAAATCTTCATTTGAAGTGAGTAGGAACCTTAACCTTCCGCAGTTATTCAAGTGTAACAGCTCTAAGAAAAGTGAATCAATGAGTTTGCATTTCATAAAGTTTTTGAAGTAAGACATCATTTGCCTTCTGTGAGAGGCATGGTCTCATGCAGTCAAGGGCTGACTGCTTTCAGTTCTGCAGCTTCCTCTGTCAGCAGTTCCATATAAAGGACTGAAGCATAGTCTTGGTTCAGTGTTGCTATGATAAATCCCTTTCTCTCCTGCTGCTGCCTAGGAAAGCAAAAAAGCAGTGCCGTTAATACACAGATGGTTACAAAACAACTGAAAATTTTACTAACCCTCATCAAGCACTTGAGTGCCTTTACTGAGTAGGAAAACATGTATTGAGCTGCACAGGGCTTTTCATCCCTTACCTTAGTGACCCCTTAGAAAGTTTTAAGTACAAACGAGTGAGGTGAAAACCACCCGTGTTGTGCAAGCCTTATGTGCAAATGCAGTACTGCTTTCCCTCATGTCAGGAGGGGAACATGAATTGCCATTGCACTATTATAATTTTGGAGGCTATAACCAGTAAAATACAGCATGAAGTTTAGCTGTCCTACCTTCTCAGTCCTCCAACCATCCTGTTGTTTTTTTCTATCTTATGATACCTAGAGTTGCTTTTTGATATATCCAAAGTCAAAAGTTTTAGCAGTTTGCCTTATATATAAATATTGCTAATGAATATAAAGTTACGTTTATATATAAAGTTTCCTGTAGTCCTAGCAGTGAATTTTACCAACTTACCAAACATAGTTTTCTGAAATATAAAATAAACTAAGAAGAGTAGGTATATTCTTATCTTAAGTGCTGAACAATCCAGCTGGCACATAAAAACAGGAAGTGCAGTCGTTGTATGACAGTCATTGGACTAAACATATGCCAGTGGGGGCCCTGAACTTTATACAAGTGAACTACGTCTACAAAACATACCATGCGTGAAACCGCAGTTTGTCTGAGCAAGAACAGGCCCTTTGCTGCTGTAGCTGGTTGTAAGAAGGGTACTAGACTGGGGCTTTCTGCCAGCTAGTAACAGATCCACAGCAGCAGGAAGAGATGACAAAAACAAAACCCTGTTACAAACAGGAGTATCTGAAAGATGGCGTACCACAGGACTTTCTTCTGTGTACTTCTAAGTGCCCTGACCACTGAATGTGGGATTTTCTTCTCATCAGGTTTCTGCGTTATAAACGAGTTTCATCCGCCTCTTTAATCCAGCAGTGTCTCTCTGTTGATGCACATACCTGCGTGCGGGTTTCTGTGGCAGTGATCCTGGTACAGCCCTTTAGCGCATCAGGGCACCATACCCTCCCCCCCGGCCGAGTTCAAGTGTCTCGGTGTCATTTCAGGGCTGCAAACAGGGCGCACGCTGCCTCTTCTGCTCCTCGAGCTCCGTAGTTAATAAAGCAGGGGAGACAGGCGGGTTGCGGCCCAGCGGCCCGGCCCCACCGCCCGGCCCGGCCCCACCGCCCGGCCCGGCCCCACCGCCCGGCGGCCCCACCGCCCGGCCAGCCCCCTGCCGCCCGGCCCGGCCCCACCGCCCGGCCGGCCCCACCGCCCGGCCCGGCCCCACCGCCCGGCCCGGCCCCACCGCCCGGCCCGGCCCCACCGCCCGGCCCGGCCCCACCGCCGCCATCTTGTCTCGTCTGAGGGTGCGGGGCCGACGAGGGAGGAGCGGGAGCCGCCCAGGCCGGCACCGCCTCCCCCGACAGCCCGGCCGTTCCCGCAGCTCAGGGGCCGCGGAAAAGGCACCGAGTGGGCGTGTGACCCGGAGATGGTCGCGGATGTAGTTCCGCAGCAGCTCAGGAGGAGCGGAAGAAGTAGGCAGTCCATCAGTGACCAGAGGCCCAGCAGACACAAAAGAAAACGAGAGCTATAGATACTAGATTAAAAATACACCTACGTGACTTTTTAACGTTTAGGATCAGAAATGATCCTAAGAATGAACGAGTGGAGTCTTGGGTGTGACGCTGAGAAGGGCATGCCAGGAGGAGCTGGCGCACCAGTAGCCTCAGAGCTCCTCATCCCACGAAGAGCTGACTCCTACTAATCTGTTGGAAATGCCTTACAGCCCCTACTCCTCAATCTCCCCCTGCTCTCCCTTCCTCTGCACTCCCTTTTCTATCCAAGGGCAACGGTGGACTGACCTTGTCTTGGCAGTCTTCCGTCACGCCTGCTTCATAGTGAAGATGCTGTGGTTTGGCCAACCCTCAACTGCTGGACTTAGTGAGGCTAAAAAGTTCGCACAGGCTGTCAACCTAGATTTTG